ATATTTTCAGCCGATTTTAGAACACACATTGTTTTCAATTGTCACACGTCGCCTAGCAACAAGGTGCACGTTTATGCTTGAGTTCATTGTGATCGGAACAACTTTAAAGTCTGGTAGTGTGTGATCCTCACTCGTTTAGTGTATGATGGCCAGTTTTTCCTCGGTGACTATTACAAAGTCGGTAAGTGTATGATGCCCAGTTTTTTAAAAATATGTTCAGATTTTAAAAGTCGTGTAGTGTATTCCAGCCTTAATGAATTTTTTAGGTTTCTTTGATGAATAGAAAGTTGAAAAGTATAACATTTATTTAAAATGTGAATCTTTTATAACATTTTAAATATCTTTACTGTCACTTTTGATCAATTTAATGCATCATTGTTCAAAAACGTTTTTAGTGATTAAATCCCCAAACTTTTGAATGGTTTCAAAGTTTCCACAAACATATTAAGAAGCACAACTATTTTCACCTTGGATAATAAGAAATGTTTCTTGAGCAGCAAATCAGCATATTAGAATGATTTCTGAATGATCGTGTGACACTGAAGACTGGAGTACTATTAGGACATAGTACAATTTGCATGTATATAAAGCTATTAAGAGAAGCACCATGGCTGTAATCACCACAAATGTTGACAAAACAGATTCTTCTCCTAGATGAACGAGAGTCATTCGCATACTGAACTGAATGTGCAAACCACTCTCAAAATGTAGACTATTGTAGTGATATTTGTATATTTTTCATAAATGTGTACCTGTAATGTTTATAGATTGAAGGAAATGCAAGAAAGAAAACTAACAAACAATTATGTCTATGACCGTATTGATTGTTTTTTTTCATATTTCAGACTTTGCAAGCCACAAGTGTCAGATGTGATTGTAGATCCCATGTGTGGAACTGGAGCAATACCTTTAGAGGTTTGTGAAATTAATTAAACTGCTAAATTTTCAGTCTGTATATTTCTGTCCTAAGAAGTGAATTGTTAACTTTTATTTTTATTTATTTTTTTTTTTTTTAACAGGGAGTTATGGAATGGCAGAATTCATTCTTTTTAGCTGGAGACAACAGTGGCACAGCAGTCAGCCGGTCAGTCAATAATATCAAGCACATTCTAAAGAGAACACATGATGGAGGAAGGTAAGGAAGCTTTGATTGTGTCCTGTCAACCTTTTACTATTACTTGGCACTATTTATATACTATAGTAATATTTATATTTTGAATTAAATAATTTTTAGATATTCAGGTTTCTTTAAAAAAATTTTGTGCTCATTTGATGTGCTTTTGTCATTTTTATAAATGTGTATATATATATATATATATTTCTTTTTCGTTTTTTTTTTTAGTCATTTTATTACTTCAACCTAAACTTTTGAATTGATTACCTTATATTTCAGTTAGTTGTCAACATTTTTTATTTCCTATTTTTTCATTAAAACATACTAAAAGGGGGAAAAACAACATTGCAATATATTAACAATGCACAGATATATACACAATATACCATTTTGTATTTTTGTATTTATTTATTTTTTGTTCCCTGTTCAAATGTTCTCAGTGTTTCATGTTGTATTTGTAGCTCTTCAGGCTTGCCCTTAGACATAGTTCAGTGGGACTTGTGCAATCTACCCATGAGAAGCAGTTCAGTGGATATCATCATTACTGACATGCCTTTTGGAAAAAGGTACAGACAGACATCTGGAGATATACAATTTTAGAACTATTCTATGGGATGATATTAGACTCTAAATGATTAATAGATGCACGCACAAATACCCTTTATGTCTTCGAGAAATGGCTCGAATTTGTAAACCTGGTACAGGAAAAGCTGTACTGCTGACCCAGGATAAAAAATGTTTCTTGAAGGTATGGCTACTATGAGATCCTTTTCATAGTTCATAATGTGGTTCATTAAAAGCATTTTGGAGTGAAAATACAATGATTATTAATGGGTTTTCATGGGATCTTTTTTTTTTTTTTTTAAGTT